TCCCTGAACGGTGACGGAAGAAGAAGAGCAGAAGCGAAAGAGTATTTCTTTGAAATAGTAATTAAAAAATGAAACTTGTAAGCGGGTAATCGGGTAGACCATGCTTTCGTAATCGAGACCTCGATGTACACGATTCCTGATTTGTCTCTAAACGCAAAAAAAAATACAAAACGAGCTGCACACTCGTATTTAGTAAAAAAAAAAAAGGTAGCTGTCGCGTTACAGATTGAGAAAATATAAAAAATGGACAGCCAAGTCTGAATTTCGGACAAAATGGAGTTTGTCGGCTGTGGCACATCCGCGCAGTGATGATAGGGGTTGGTGTGGGTGGTTCTGAGTCAGAGCCTACGGCAATGACATATGCTAGGTTAAAGGGCCCATTTGAAAATTCGCGGCAGTCGAGGAGAGGAAGCATCATGGGGAAGACGGCAGGGCACAAGGCTGCGGGATGCAGCCAAGAACAGGGTCGCGAGGTAGGCATGGACGCGACTGTGAAGAAGGAGCTTGCAGCGGAGGCTACCGCGACGGCCAAGGGCGTCCAGACGTACAATGAGCGGGAGGACAAGAAGAAACGCATGAAGAACAATCCCTGAAGGACAAGCTCGCGAAAGCTGCGCTACAGGGGGCACAAAAATCCCGTCCGCACCTCCACCAAAGTGTACATTGTCGGCAAAATGAAGGCGATGTACATGAATAGCTTTCTGCGGCTGCCAGGAGCTCGTGAGGCGCTGTCTGCGCGGCGCAATGCTGTGCTTCGTCATGAAGCGACTCCTCGTAAACCCGAGGTAATCGTTATTGACGACGACGGCGATGACCTCTGGTCGATGGGTGTGGACAAGGTGAGTGTGTCTCGAAACCCAGAGAAGATTAAATTTCCAGACACGGGTCCTACAGATAAGTGCAAGTGCGCTTATGACTGCTTCAGAGACGATTGTCTTAATGCCGACACCAGTTTCTACTGTACGGCTGCCAACTGCACCGCGAAGGAAATTGCTTAAACAGTCTGTACGAGTGCAAGAATTTGGAGCTGACGGTGTGCAAGGGAACTGGAATCGGCGTTAAAGCTACAGCTACTATCCACGCAGGGTCCATCATCGGCAACTACACCGGGGTTCTGATTACGCATAACTTCGCAGCAGATGAAGAGCAGACCTGCGACTACGCGCTGGAGCTTCGGCTCAAGAGCACTCGAGGCAAGAAAGTCTACATTGATGCGACGAGTTGTGGTGGTATAACGCGAATGCTGAACCACTCGTGCGACGCACCGTGCCACTTTGTGGAGCTACGCAACCGCGAAAACGTGGCCGTGGTGGTGGTGGCCAAGCGCACGATTGAAGATGGAGAAGAGGTGACTGTCGACTACGTGGACCCGTGGTTCGACTGCGTGTGTGGTGCTGCCAACTGCCGTGGCTAGGACAAAAAGCCGTGTATCCGGGCTCAAGATCACCGTGTTGCAATGTCGTAGGTGCCATTAAAGTGGGATGGAAGCACGAATTGACCATGAGTAGCGCCGAAAGCAACCTTTATTGCAAATAAATCGTTTCCATGTTCTGGTGCTAAGCTCGGCGGCTTGGTTTGACAGGGGATGCAGCACCGAACCATTTTACTTCAACCTGCAATCTGAGAAGCTTTAAAAAGAAAACCCGTGTATTGAGAGGTTACTCTGACGTATGAAGCGTTGGGTAGAGCACCTTTCACGGCACTATCAGTCCTTATCACTGTGAGCAAGGCCGAACAACACTTCTACTCCATATCAAGAGCAAAACCGTTGGTGCGAGGTCTTCCCACAGGTACATGGGGTTCAGTTGTTTGGGTTTCCCGTTGCCGTTTCTTAGACGTGCCTCGGTAGACCAATGTAGCTTTTCCAACCGGTTCAGCAGCGCCAGAGACTTTCAATGCGCGAAGAAGATGTATGCAACACACGAACTTAAAGAAGTAATTGCATAGGCAGCTGCGTCGAGTAAGATCCACCTCCCAACCCCATTGTGGCTGCCCTTCACGCTCCATAGAAGCACATGGATACCTTCAAAACGTTGTCATAACCAAATGTGGTTTGTATAGCATTGTATTGCGCTTCTTCGGCATCTCTCATCACGTAGCGCACTTTAAAAGGCTTTTGCATAACACGGAAGTACACCGAACGCAGTGCATTTAGCATGTCCGTGTATTGGGGTTCCAAACGTTGAGAAGTTACGAACAACGCCACTAGGTGAAATGAACGACATCGATCTGACATTTCACAAACCAGTACTGGGTATTCCACTTGAGCCACCTTAAATGTAGCATCCACGTGAAAAACAAATGAATCCACCGGGCGATCCAACCTAGATAGAAGCCTTTTTGAAGTCACACCAACCACGAAAGGTTTTTCGTCAGATCCTGTTCCAACTTCGATATGGCCAGCATCATCCTTTTGACAACTAATAGTGAAAGATGCGCTATCCTCCTCAGTTCCGCTAAACTCCAACCCACGTATGTACTCAGTGAGCTCGTCCACAAAATCATTGTTCATCATTTTGATCTTGCGAAAGTAGTTCGAGAAATTTTGCACGACCTTCAACTCTGGCAGATCATCCATACGAACGTTAAACTTTCGAGGCATCGCGTTTCAAATATGACCTGGTCGCAGTCCTTGCGCAGCCATCTCTCTGATGTAAGGTTTATGCGCTTCTGTCAACTTGTTTTTCTTGGTATCCTTCTCGAGGCTGTTGTGTTCCCCACACTCCTTAATGGTGAACTTCCGTGTATCCATGACACGCCCACGCCACTGACAGTTTGCCTGTTGACCACTAGTTTCGCATTTTGAGGATGAGCAGCTCAATGGTTGCTAGCGCATTTCGTGGGGGGGGGGTGCCACAGTACATATCGTGCAGGGGACGGTATGACTGGTTCCCTTCTAGTACTGCTTAAACCCTGCAAGCGCAGCTTCTGCGGTAGTGGCGTCCACAAAATCGCGTACTATAGTCCACTGCAGCGTCGTAGCAGACCGTGATTGAGGCAAGCCGTACCTGTCGGTCGCCCTGGGAGCTCCACCACGAAGGCGCCAGATATCCTCGGCAGCTCTGACTCGGGGGAATTGCGATGTGCGCATCTGCGATAGGATAAAAACCCTGTCAAACGCCCATGAGATTGGCTAAAATACAATGTCCGCAATTCAGCTTCCTCTGTATGCAAGTCAGGTTACGATCTCCATGAAGACACAATGATGTGTGTTCTTCCCAATCGCTTGTGCGCCATTCATTTATTTTATGTGCATTCAGGCACTTTATGTACTTTTTTGCATTAGTGTGTATTTTTTTCTGTTTCTCTTACAGTATTCTGAGCCGTAATCTCTTCCCCGGTGCGCGACTTTATTATGAGTGCAAAATTTTAAGAAGCACAATTGTCAAGTACTACGTAGTACTAGATAACAGTCTCAAAAAGTGTGTCTTAGCGTATGGTGCTTGATTTCGCATAAAATCTAATTTTATGCGAATTCCATGCCTTATTCCGGAAAACATGATTCTTGGAAAAGCACATGCTTGTTTTTTTGCATTTACCCTGCTGTTTTTAGTATTTTCGCATCTCATGCTACTTCTGGTATAAGTACGATCCTATGAAATACAGTTGGCTACATTTGTGACCCAAAAATTAAATTATGGAGGCTTCTACCCAAGAGTCGGTCTATTTCAACGACACCTGGGTTCTGCCTATACCTTATCTTTGTTATAAATACCGGTACACTATTGTACTGGCGAGATGAAATGCACCACCATTTTTTTGTTTTGCTCATAAATACAAAAGTAATTATCGGATTAATGCCGGCAGACCCGCAATGGAAACAGGGTAGCACAGAGATCACAGACAAGCACACGTTGTTTGACTTTCTTGTCTTTTATTAAAATGGTGGAAGCTCAAACGTCTGCGGGAAATTGATGCTGATCATGCATGCACAGAACATTTTTGCGATATTTAATAAACAAAGAAGCCTTAAGTGACAAGCTTTACGCCAGAATGCAGCTTGGAATGCAACGCATCTGCAGAAGCTGGTTTTAGCTACAGGAGCAGCGTAGGGATTGCTGCATGCAGTGTTAAACGCATCGCCGACAGCCCCACTTCCTAGGATCAAATGTGCATAGAAATGAGTAAAAAGGGCATTGTTGATTGTAATACTAAAGTTTGTAAGGACCAAAACATCTGATGCCGTATGTCAAGAACATAGCCTCGATTTTTTGGGCGGAACGAAAGACACGCACTTTTCGATTAAGTGTAGCATGTGAATTTGAGCAGATATTCAAGGATGATTATGACTACTTAAGAGAAGAAATCATTATCTTTCCAACAAAAAAAAGCTTATATAAATTGGGTAATTGGGTGAGAAGTTGTGAAGGGGCAATGTTTGGTGTTGCATTTCATCTCGCCAGTACAATATCAGGTACTCTACAAGTGCAAATACAGCAGCGAGACACTTCATCTTCCTCACTTTCCAACTTGCCAATGAGGTTGGAGGTCTCGTCCTCCCACTGTCGGTTGAGGCGGTCGAACACTTGGCTGGCTGTACTGGGCATCTTGGTAATTGACAAGTGAATCTGAGCTTCCTCTCTGTGCTTTGACTTTTTTCCAAATTAAATGGCCAGGATTTCGCGAAAACCAGATATATTATAGATAATACGATGTCGCACTAGCTTCAGATACATATTTTTGCCAATGATACCACGCTGTTATGTATACTTGAATATTACAGCTGCAGCCTAGTTATATTAAAAGTGATTGAGCTATATGCGAAAATATCGCAGCTTAGAATTATTAAGGCGTTTTAAATTTGAAACTGTATTGTTTGCGCCAGATAGCGTTGTATCGTGAGCAAATACTGCTATATAAGGTACATGCACATAACTGACGAAAAATTCACTTTTTTAGCCTGTGGCCTAGTAGGCATAAGGAAGGTTCGGAATTAATGTTGAGTTTCTATATATTTCCTGACGTTTCAAATTGCGATCCGACGCGCTGCAGGACGGCATTTACTCGTCGGTGACGCAGCCCTCCGAAGCAGACTTGACGTTCTTGATGAACTTGTACAGAGTACCGCGAGTGGCCTTGAGCGGAGGAGCAACCCACTCCTTCTTACGCTGAGCCAGCTCCTCGGCCGTCACGTTTATCAGATCGATGCGATTCTGCTCGGCGTCGACCGTGATCTTGTCACCGTTCTTCACTAGAGCAATGGGGCCACCAACCTGAGCCTCAGGAGTGATGTGACCGATGATGAAACCATGCGAACCACCGGAGAAGCGGCCGTCCGTGAGCATGGCAACGTCCTTGCCGAGGCCAGCTCCCATGATCGCCGACGTAGGAGCAACTGAAACATCAAAACGAAGGGCATCGTGTCAGAATCTAGACAACTCAAGCGTCAGACAAGAAGACGCAAAACACTTACGCATCTCCGGCATGCCAGGGCCACCCTTGGGGCCTTCGTATCGGATAATAACGACGCTTCCCTTCGTGATCTCGCCCTTCTCCAGACCAGCCATCATGTCTTCTTCGCAGTCGTACACCTTAGCCGTACCAGTGAAGACAAGCCCCTCCTTACCGGTAATTTTGGCAACCGAGCCCTCCGGAGCCAGGTCACCACGCAGGATACGCAGGTGGCCGCTAGACTTGAGCGGGCGGTCCACAGGGTGAATAATCTCGTGGTTGTCAGAGAGGTCAGCCACCTTCTCAAGGTTCTCCGCCAGTGTCTTGCCCGTCACAGTGAGGCAGTCGCCGTTAATGTAGCCCTGGGTCATCAGGTACTTCAGCACGGCAGGCGTGCCACCCACGCGGTGGATGTCCTCCATCACGAACTTACCACTGGGCTTGAGGTCGGCCAAGAAAGGCACGCGCTCACTGATCCTCTCAAAGTCGTTAATAGACAGCGGGATGTTCGCAGCACGAGCAATAGCGATCAAGTGGAGCACAGCGTTGGTGGAGCCACCTAGAGCCATGGTAACCGTGATGGCGTTCTCGAAGGCTTCTCGGCTCAAGATGTCAAGTGGCTTGATATCCTTTTCCAGAAGCACCTTGATCGCCTCACCGGCTTGGAGGCACTCGTTCTGTTTCTCGGGCGAGTCAGCCGGGAAACTGGACGAGAACGGCAGACTCAGACCCAGCGTCTCGATGGCTGTAGCCATCGTGTTGGCAGTGTACATGCCACCGCAGGCACCAGCACCAGGGCAGGCGTGACGGATGATATCATGACGCTCCTCCTCTGTGATACGTCCGGCAATGTACTCGCCGTACGCCTGGAAGGCCGAGACGACGTCCAAGGTCTCGCCCTTAGAGCTGCAACCAGCACGGATCGTGCCACCGTACACCATCAAAGATGGACGGTTCACACGCGCCATGGCGATCACACACCCAGGCATATTCTTGTCGCAACCAGGGATGCAAATGTTCGCGTCGTACCATTGACCACCCATGACCGTCTCGATCGAGTCGGCAATCAAGTCTCGCGACTGCAGACTGTAGCTCATACCGTCTGTGCCCCATACTGATACCATCGCTCACACCGATGGTGTTGAAACGCAGACCCACGAGGCCAGCGGCGTTCACACCCGTTCTTCACCTCGCCGGCCCAGATCCAACAGGTGCATGTTGCACGGGTTTCCCCTCCCCACCACATGGAGGCGATACCCACCTGGGGTTTGTCCATGTCTTCCTCTGTCATGCCGGTGGCGTACAGCATGGCCTGCGAGGCGCCGCGCGCCTTGGGCTGCGTGACGGTGGCGCTGTAGCGGTTGATGCGCACGCCGTCGGCGGCCTTGGGGCCATCGCCTCCGGAAGTGGCGAAGGCGCGCTGCAGCAGCGTTTTGCGGATCGGTGAAGAAGAACCCGAGCGCTGCATTGTCTTGCTCAGCATCTTGCGGTCTTGGTGCAGCGAGCGGTCGGGAGGCGACGATGAAGCTGATGCTGGTGGTGCAGGCGCAACCTAAACATGGTTGCGCAAGCGTTTGCGCAACATTAGCCAGCGAATAGATTGCTGGGATTGGCTGAAAAAAGGAAACCAAAAGATTTTTCTTGCTACGTGACTGATCAAAACTGTGCACCCCTTTAGCCCTGATTGCTTCATGTTGAAGTGAAGGCGAAAAGGCACCGTCATTTAAGTGTTGAGACCAATGCAGCACAGCACCACAGCGGAAAACTACGACTTGGAGAGTGTGACGGCACGGCTGGAGGCCATGAAGGCCAGGAGGGGAAAGTGGCTGGTCCGAAAGAACGCGGACTCGGAGAAGCAGCAATTATCAGAGCGAGAAACCACTCGTGGATTTGAATTGGCGCCAGCTGATGTATCGAGTGGCGGGTCGGAAGCTGACAGCGACGATGGCTATCAGTCTAGCAGCACCAACTCACTGCCGAGTGACGATGATAAAGCGATTAACCTGCAGATAAGTAAAAGCCGAGGGAGAGCACGGAAGCTTAGAGTAACAGACAGCCTTGAGCTGTCCATGTCGGTGGCGACGTCGAGAAGATCCCTCCTTGAAGCTGAAACAATGCGTACCTACTCCTCTATTTTACAAGCAACATATTCCAAATTACCAGGCGAAGATGCTACACGAAGGCTTATACAGCGACGCAACAACGATCAGGCATTCTCTTATGCACTGCCAGAACACACTGCCATCTGCAAACCGTCGAGGATACCGAAGCTTGTACAAAAGCGTCGACAGCTACAGGGACAACGAGCTATTACCACAGGGGGGTATTTAGAAACACCAATGTCGGCAGTGAGCTCCCACACCCCGACTAACAGGTGGCAGCACAAAACGCCATCGTCTGGAGATCGGTCAGCCCCTTCAGAGGCATCAAAGAAAGAGACATTACTGCACTCTACAAAGTCTCCTACTCGTGACCGGGCCACTGCCAAGAAAGAAAAAGTTGAAAGGAATGCTAGTCCTGCTCTGCGGCTATACAAAGTCAAACTACGCGAGAGA